AAAAATAGTAATTAAGAAGATAAAATTAAAAATTAAAAATGTATATTTCTTTGTATATCTTTATAATATAAATATATAATTATATATGAAATTTTATTTTTAATATTAAAAAACGACTGCGTTTGATACATGAGAGGAGAGGGAAAGAAAGAAAACAGAAGCCAAGAAGAGGTTTTTTGTTAATACCACATCGTAAATTTCAGACTTACTCTCTGCCTCCCTGCAATTCCCATCCAGCACTTTTCTGTTATTCACCTTGCTCTGCTACTACCACCGCGGCCGCTCAGTCAACCACCACTGGAGCCACAACTCTCTCCGAAAACCACGCGCCTCCCGCCACAGCGCCAAGCCCTCGCCTCTGCCTTCTCTGTTATTCACCTTGCACTTGTACTCTCAATTCCCTTTATGTTTCCATCGCGCCGCTCCCACACGGACAGCCATCCCCGGAACTACAAATGCCTCTCAACTCACGCCACACAGGCAAACCCTCTTAGCACCCTGCAATACTCACCGTCTCTTCTATTCTCACATCTCTTTCTTTCTTTTCTGTTTCCCTAAATTAAAGTATCTCTCTTACTCAACATGCCACCTCACAATTTCACCTTTTTTATTTTCATTCTAAATTCTTGTTTTTTACACGTAATGTTGTAGCTTTGGTGTTTAGCCACGGTAGGGTCTACGTCTATTACCTTATTCTAGAAACCAACTTTTGGCTTTAGTGTTCTTTTACTTCTGCTTGCAGATTCTGATCATAACCGAGTGAAACCTATGCGTTCGATTTCAATTGAGTCCAACATTTCCTGAATATTCTGAAACATCAAAACACCCTTCCGGACATGGCTGATAATATAGTTACCTCTGCCAAATCTTCTACTCCTTCGCCGAACCCTATTCGGATAATCTGCCACGTGTATGTTCTTCTTCAACTTATTATAAGTTTTCTTCTACATATATGTTTTTTTATCATTATACTAAGATGAAGATCAAGAAGCGTTTTTTGCTGTTTTTTTAATTTATTTTCCGATTCTTACTTTGTTTGGAAACACGCTTAGTTCTATCAGTTGATATTTGTGTTCATAAAAATTATAATTTTCAGTTTTAGTTTATTCTGCAGGTTGAATATGACTAGATATTTTCAATTTCTTTTAGATCAAGCTGTCCTCATTTATTCCATTTCATACTGCAACAGATGCCAGAAGCAGTTTTCTCAGTACACGTGTCCTCGATGCAATTCGCGATACTGCTCCCTCCAATGTTACAAAGTATGTACAGTAGTTGTCTGTAAGTTTATTTGAGCTGGTTAAGTAAGAGTTTGATTCATTCTTTGCATAGAAGCTGCATGTGTGTAACCTTACATCATTGATTAAGTTTTAGATTCCCATAATTTTATGTGCACTAGCATGGTAATTCTCAATAGCTAAAGAATATATATGACAGATTACTTTTGAATTTGGAGCAGAATATTTTCTGCATGGCAGTAGTATGCATATTCCAGTTTAGGTGCAAGTTGTCTTAATATTTTTTTGAGATTTACAACTTTTACAGACATTCAGAGGATAAATGTTATTTCTGGTTTTACCATTTTTATTCTCCCCTTATGCTTTTGTATCTCTGTATCTCCTTTTGCATTTATTGTGCCTGCTTTACTATGGTGACTGTTCTGACTATTCTGAGAACGCTTTATTTTAGAAATCTGTTATGCTTTTATTGGGTTTAAATGATTTTGCAAATTGGATGCTACTACATACTTTCTCTATAGATACGTTGAGTCTTGATCCTTGTTTGTTTGCAAACTGTTTGAATTTTGACAGTCTCATAGTCTCCGTTGCACTGAATCTTTCATGAAAGAAAATGTAGTTCAAGAGCTTCAGCAAATGCAGCCTGATGAAAAGACCAAAAACAAGATGTTGGACATACTGAAAAGATTTCATTCAGAAGAGGAAATGGATGAGGATTGTAAGTCATCCATATTTTCCCCTTGCTTTTAGATGTTCCAGAGTTTATTTGTTGCAGTTTTTCTTGTTTGATATCTATCTTTGCATGGAAGCTTACTCTTGTTTTTATTTATTTCCTGAAGCGTATTCATATATTTTTTGTTTCATGTTGTAATTACATATAAACAGCAGCCTAGATTTATCCCGATAGATACAGGGTAAGCTTCAATTAAAGCCATTGGGATCTTTTGAAAATTAATTTTCAGTGGAACATGTGACTGAACGAAATTTTTCCCTGAAAGATTAAGTTCGTGTCATGTTTGTCCTGGAGACTCGGCTTAGATAGAGAATCCCTCTTGAGGTGCTTAAGAGATGTTAATGCAAGCACTTTAGTCCAGGCAGTAAGAATGCTTTACCTGAATTTAGAGATGGCCAAAAACCATGAGTTTTTATCTGAGCTGGTGTGTGTGTGTGTCTACAAGTATAAGTTTATCTCATAAAGAGGAAGGTACAACCTATGCCCCTTATTCTAAAGCTAGGTACACCATAAAATCAACTTTTATAAAAGCTGTTCAGGAAAATAATACCACCTAATTTAATAATCTCCCTCAAGCTGGAGCATATAAATTATAAGCACTAAAATTGAAACATATAAACTGAATTGTAGACTCTTTTAAAGATATAGTTAGAATGTTTGCAAGTTGGTCATTAGTGTTGATGATCCAGTACTAAGTTCCTTGGACAACAATTTCTCCATGACAAATGACAATCAATTTTTTGTGTTTATTTCACTCATAAAACACTAGATTGGAGGCAATATGGTTTCATTTTCCTAACTTCACAGAATTTCCACTCTAGAAGTATTAGCTTAATTCACACAAGTTCATAGGTGGCCAAAGTCAGATCTGTGTTTAGCTTCTGCATTGGATCAGGCAACAACACTTTATTTCTTGTTCTTCTAAGAAATAATATTCCCTCCAATGATTACACAATATCCTATGGTGAACCTCTTGACAATGAGAGAATCAACCTAATCAGCATCACAATACACTCAGATTTGAGTATTTTTCACTGTCCTCATACAATAATCCTTTTCCTGTAACTTCTTTATTATATCTGAGAATGCAAATCACAACACTGTCATGATAAAGATCAGACCATGTATAAATTATTAAGTTTTTGTTGGCATCCTACAATGAGTCAGGCCACAAGGGACCTTTTCCTACATATGAGAGAAATATGTTTCCTACTATGAGAGATAATATGATTGGGTGTTTAGGGAGGTGCTCTTAGAGTTGTATCAAGGAAACGATTATCATTAGCAAAGATATATTGGGCCATTTCCAAAATAAAGAGAATGTCTTGAAGGATTTGAGTATTCTAACACATTGGGCTCAATTGATGCCATAAAACAACACATAGATAGAAGTCAATCTTGCACTAAGTTTATCTTGAGTGAAAATAGTTCTAGTTTCATCTCCAAATGGTCATGGTATCTGTTAGAATTATTGGTTATTGTGTATGAGTTATGTGTGTATGAGTTGGGTTCAAGTGTGTTCCACTAAGAGTGAGTTGGAAAGGAGTGTGGTTAGTTACTTTGTTTTCTATAAATGTAAGTGTAGAGGTGTTTAAGCCCTCAAGAGAGAACATATTTTTATCTCAAGTTTGTATCAGAGCAGGATCATCCTGCTCTGGTTTCTGTCCTAAAGTGGTCCACCAGCATTGTCATTGCTGTTTGCATCCGGTGCCCATTGCCGCCGTCCGCGGTTGTCTTGCATGTTGCAAATGTCAACTGCAGTTTGAAGCTCTTCAACTTGGTCTCTGCCATCTCGCATCTGTCGCCCACCGTCCCTGCCGTCCGCCGTCACTGTTCCGTCCGGGACCACTGGGATCTGGTTCACCTCTTCACGCACGACACACCCACCAGTGCCGGACGTCTGATCTTCTCCACGCTCCGCCACGCGCCGCTTGTTGTGCGCTGCGAACAGGCGCGTGCAGCTCACGCGACGCCCTTGGCCGCGGAAAGCCACCGCGACACCTCCATAGCGGTCGCCTGGACCTCCTCTCTCTGCTCTGCCCCTCAAAACCCTGCTTTAGTGAGGTCAGAAGCTCCCCTTGAAGGAAACCCTAAAAAAACCCCTAGGGTTTTCTAGTTCCTCTCGGTTTTCTGGCTCCTTTCTGGTTCCTCTCCTATTTTTATCAACAATGGCTTCTGGAAGTGTTCTTTCTTTCTCTGGAAGTCCCTCAATTACTTGCGAAAAGCTAAACGGAAAAGAATTACCTCTCTTGGTCTGCTGCCATGGAAATGTGGTTTCTCGGTCAAGGACATTATGACACATTGAGCAGGATGGAAGCCAAGTACCTTCTGAAAAAGCTGAACAATGGAAATAAACAGATTTCCAATTGTGGCCCTATTGTGGCAATCTGTGGAACCCCGACCTTTGCTATCTCTTAGAGCCTTCAAAGCAGTCACTCTTTTAGGAAGAAAGCTCAAAGCATTATGCAAATGATATCAACGTCTCTATGATACAACAAACAAGCTTGCATGTCTCAAAATGACAGACCATGATATGGTCTCCTTCATGACTGAAGGGCCAAGCAGCTGTGGAAGAGTTAAGAATGTTTGGAAGTGGAATCTTGGAAACATCAAGAAGAAGCTTGACAAGTATTATATGGTGATGATCCTCCGTGCTTTACACCCTGATTTGAATCATATCAGAGATCAACTTCGACAAGTCATGAGGTCCCTTCCTTGGAAGCCTGACCACAGTTTCTTCGTGTTCAAGTGCCTCAATCTCAGGAAGCTCCTGAAACAATGGAACCATCTGTCATGGTTGTACGCGGGGAAGAGGAGGACGGGGCACTAGAGGAGGAGGACGTGGAGGTAGGGGACGTCTACAGTGCACTACTATAAGAGATGGGTCACACCCAAGAAAACTGCTACTCCTTGCATTGTTTTCCTTCAAAAACAGCCAATATCTCTAAGGCTGAAACTCCACTTCCAACTCCAAGTTCACTGAGGAAGAGTATCAAGAGTATTTGCGATTAAAGTCTAACAGCTGGCGCAATCATCTTACACCAAGTACATCCAAAGTTGTTTCTCTATCCATGGAAGGTCAAATTCTGGGTAATTGACTCGGGTGCTTCTGATCACATCTCTGGTAATACCTCATTGTCTCAACCCTTTCCCTCCAAGAAAAACCCCATTTCATTACTCTTGCAAATGGCTCTTAAACTTGTTCAAGGGAGTCGGTCAAGTCTCCCTGGCTCCCTCTCTAACTTGAAATAGTTCTTTTTGTCCCTAATTGGTTCCATTCAATTAATTTCTTAGTCAGTTAACCAAGATGTTACA